TGACATCGGCTAGCGACAACTAAGCCTTACCAATAGGCTGAGTCTGCCTGCTTCAGCGTCCTCCTCGTTAACGTCTCCAGGTAATTGCCATGCAAATTGTCTCGTTCCTTGTAGCTTTGGTGCATCAGAAGCACGCTCGTCCTGAAGCGTGAAACAGCAAGAGAACGAAGGAGAAAAGGGCTTTGCTTCCGATGTTGACGCCGTATCGTGTTGGGCACTTGAAGCGCCTTTTCCGTTCACTGAAGACGGACGAAAGTGGCGTTGTGAGCCGTGGCTGTTCATGGTTCTGGTACGGCTTATTAGGATCCGCCAACAAGAGACCGCCAGTGGCGGTGGCAGTAAATGTGGCGGACGGATTCGGGCCAATCGAGTGGGGAACTGCCGGGGGAAATAGAGGCGTATGGTACTTGGTATGACTCGCACGTCGAGCGGCCGAATAAAGCATACGAACGAAGGCGAAGTACAACTGCGACGGCCGCTAGAGCTGCTGCAGTCGCACCGTGGTAGGAAGACCTGGAGTACCAGGGCAAAGGCGTCCAGCGCACAGAAAGAAAGGGCGACCAGGTAGACGGAAAAGCGGAGTGAGTCGTCGTGCGTCGGCGATTTGCTCCCAGAAGAGTCTCTTCTCGATGCTTTCTATCCAACCCTCACCTTCAGTCCAAAGGAGGTAAAGGCAGAGGTGAAATAAGGTGACGTCTGCTGCTTCAACCAGTTCCTCTACCATCTATCGCCAGCTCTAAGACGACGAAATGTATGAGCCATGAGGACCACCCCCAAAACATGTGCCAAGACACATCCGCTGCTGCTGATGCTGCTGCTGTCCAAGAATCCCCACCGTATAAAAGCACGAAAAAGTAGTCTTTAGGACGAAATACAGCCAAGACACTTTCATAACCCCTTAACGCTTCTAGGACGCTTTTCATGCTAGATCCTCCTCTCTGCTTAATGCCCCCTGGAATCACTTAGATCATAAGGTGAAATTAAGAAGAACGCAAGAAGCACGCCACGAGTTGTGTCTAGAGTAGCCGTTTGCTCTACTCGTTCTCAATTTAATGTGTTATATATTCGTATAAGATGGTCTCCCTGCATGCTTGACATACAGTTATCAATTTGTGCTGTATCTCCGTAGAAACATTCCTTCACATGAATCCTCAAATTTAGCTTTCTCAAGCAAGTGTCCCTAGAATCAACGATGCATCCGAAGAAGGTATCCGAAAACAAGCGCAAGCTGCGTCGCGCTCAATGCGTGCTCTATGCAGATCAAACAGTCGTTCGAAGATCATACAATCGTACGGACCTCGTTCTTCTACTGAGCACTCCTTTCAGCCATGAGTTTCCTTTTCCCTTTCGATTCTATTACTTTATACTCGGGCAGCTGCTTGTTCCGAACCGGAACTTGAACAGAATTGATTTTAAAAAGGAGAACGTGCCGTTTGTGGTGAAATAAGTGAAAGCTAAGGCTGTCAAGGGCGTTCAGTCACAATTGAGTTCCGGCAGGTTAAAAACAGTCGACGAGAATGCACCTGCAACTTTGTTTGCAACCCATCAAAGACGCTATTTGCCATCAATAGGATTGAGCCCTTAGCCAATTTTTGGCTTCCTTGTCCAATGAAATCTTCAAGAAAAGCAACCAGCAGTAACTTAAAATCAAGACCATAGTTTGTTGCCTTTTTAATATTGTATCGTGGACAACATCTAAACGCTAGTATACGCTTAATGAATTTTCAAATGCGACTTCTAGTAATTGCATGATCCATTTATATTGACATAAATTAATATAATCAATTAATAAAGCGGCACTCCATTACGCCAGCGAATACTTCAGGATAACCGTTGTTTGGCGCATGCATACCGAATCAACCTTGAACAAACTCTTAACGTTTTCTCCTAAAAGCAAAAAAAAAACCATTTACGACGCAGTTGTAAAACCTAATCAGCTACAGAAATAATGTTTTGGCACTACGTCATCGGAGTTTATCGTCCTATGGATTATGCGCATCCGAGAAACGTGTACGACATGATTCCATAGTCCTCCGCAACATCTCAAAGATGACTTCGGTTTTTTTTGATGTGGCTTCCACTTTGTTGTTTTTGTTATTGCTGTTGTCATAAACCTCGTTTCACCCTCACACACTCGAACGGTTCATCCGAGAATGCTTCAAGAGCCCTGTCTGAATCGGTTGTTTGACCTTATGTTGCTGAAGTTTAGTTTCTTCGAGCGAGTGTTCTTGTCTAAAGGGCTCTTCGTTCGAGCCTCTACTCGCCGGCAGTTTACGACTCCCAGGGGTAACCGGCACCGCCACGTTACTCCGATCCTCCCCCGTCCGGCTCCTGCGTGGTGCCAAATGGCACTAGACGCGTACACAGCTTGGGAAAGAGCCCACATCTAAGCCATCGAGGTAAAGATCAAGCTATGTCAGTCCGTAGGTATGAGAAGGCCTTATGCAAGCAAGGCACAACTTTGTATAAAGTTTGCCGGCTCGTGATCAATATCTATCATGGACGACCAAATAAGCCTCTATGTTCCTGGCGCTTGTCACTATCGCACACTGATTCTCTTGTAAATGCATGTGTGTGCAGTAAATATTGATATGTCTGTCTCGATCTTGGCTTCTTTCCTTCTATTTCTAGTTGTAGTCATACTCGCTTATGTATATCTGTAGCGAGATTTAGTCTGGGCGATGAATCTTCATTCATAGCAAAGCATCCTGCTGCAGAATAAGCAGCTTCGAAACCTCGTTCGATAACACATGTATTATACATTATAGAATCTTTCTCTGGCTTCCTAAATATTGTTTGCGTGTTTGCCTATCAGAGTGAATGCTCATTTTATTTAAAATACCGAGCGCTTAATGCAAGTTTTATCGACGGATAGATACTCACGCAAAGCGGTATTTATTCTCATTCTGTGACCGGGTCAGTTCGGATTAAGCTATGTTTCAACGGTACGTACCACCAAACGATTTTGCAAAACGGCTTGCTAGCAGCTTCTATCGGTTTTCACCCCTTGCAGACTGAGCCGTAAGCTCGAAGTCGTTTCATTGTATTGTTGAGTTTTGGTGATCTCTGCCCACTGCATCTCCTCGTATGTAGCACAGCTGCTCGAGTCCTTCCCTCGCTCTAATTGCAAAATCTATATATCGTGGCCGGCATAGACCGCGGGTCCCCATAGCCGCGCTCACACTGGTTCTGTCCTTTGCTGATCTTCTAAACTGCTGCTTCGGGTACCTTGAAAAGTCACTGACTGACTGACGAGTGTATCTCAGCATTGTTACTATGGAACGCTCCGGCAGCACTAACAGGCAACGAGGAAGATGGCCTGTGCGCTTTCTCGTATCTTTGCTTCCTCTATAGAGAAAAGGATACCGCCGGGAGCGGCAGTAATTATCTACTCTCTTTCCATTCCTTCCACTGTTTCACCGCAGCTTTAGCTAGACAACTGCACCTCAGGCACTCCACAGCCGGCCGGATAAGGCTACCAGTGTTCTTTCCAGGAGTGAGAAGGGATGTAAAGCTTCAGACCACCGGTGGATGACGGCTTCTAACGAACGGCGAACGGACGCACACTCGATAGCAGTAGCGCAGGGATGGAAAGGCGGTGAGATAAACTCATTTTGCGCTCGACCGCTCCTCCATTGTACGTAGGACAGCCCTCCGCTGACGTTCCGGCCGATCTGTCTAGAGAGCCAAACGTGTTTATTGGCCTAAGGCTCTCTGAGCTTTTACCAATTACCATCTCGTTCTATAGAGCAGATTCATCCCATATAGAGCAATATTACTATTTCATACTAACTAATGGAACGATGGTAATGCGCGGATAGGGCGAGCGGCAGTGACCGAGCATGCATTATTAATGGTGCTGCGCTATTTACCGAACGTCACTCCATTCGATTCCGTTCGTGAAGCGGCGGAGTTTTTATAGTTCAAATCAACAGGATAAATTAGTGAACAGTAGACGTGACTAAAAATATTTTTGAAATATAGAGAATCCCTGGCGTCGGGACAGACGAAGCCCAAAGTTAATCCCTATTATTTTATTTCGATCGCACCCGCCCTCCACTGGATTCAGCCCTGTCTCCGACGGCTAAAACATGCTGGTTTTAATAGTAAGCTAAACACTTATGAGAATGAAACACTTTTCACGGCCTTTCTTTCGGTTCAACTGACAAGCACTGTTTAAGGGGAAAGGACATTTTCCGAAGTAACTTAATATTTTGCGAATTCGTCTTGGCTCCTAATCCATATTACGAAAAGATTTATAGCTCGTTATTTTAGCTTCTATGGGTGCCTTTGTTTATTTTTTAAATAGAAGACGTATTGTTCATTCGAATTTGAATATGTAGATACACTATTATCCCTTCCTTAATCCTTGGGAGTTTTGGTTAAAGATGTCTTAATTTCATTTTTATCTATATAACGAAAACACGTTTTCGTTAGGGAAGCCCGGTAACCAAAAGTTTAACAAATTCAATGTAAGTCTTAGCCTCCTTCTCGTAATAACTTAAAGCGATGGCTATGTGGAGATTTTACGAAGACACAAAGTAATGCCTCGAATGTGCGTAAGCCTGTTGGGAACTACCAGAATGAAATGTATAGGCTGATCCTTTACTAAGATTATATATATATGTGCTCGTCAAAATTGATTCTTAGTCTCTAAGACATATTCAAACACAGCTGAAAACTAACCGAAGGGGAAGTTCGGTTCTTTGTAGCGCGTCAAAATAAACATACCAAATGCGACGTTATCTGGCACTTCATCGAGCGTAGCAATGAGATAACATTTCTTTGTAATTCTTCTCGGCGTACCTTTGTGTTGAAGTCGCAATAAGGGATCAAGTATTTCTGAGTATGCATCTTTAGAGCACCAGCTGATATGCTGATCCATAAGCACGAACGTCGTACGGTGCGATATATTCACTGCGGTTCATCTCAGGACTACTTTCGAAGCTAAAGAGTTATAATCGCTTCATTCAGATACTAACACTGTTACTGCTACTCACCTGTAAGTTAAAGTCGTGATTTACCGGATAACCAATTAAAGGTAGAAACGTTGATCGTCCGGTGGTTACGTCCATATCGAGAACGGAAACTGTAAGAACTGGCGACACCTGGGTGTTGTACATCTGCGAAAGTTGGGCACCCGTATTTGCACTTTGAGACGTCACAGGAGCAGACGGAGCTGCTGCACCGCTAGGCGGCGCTGCGTCAGGTGTTTGGGAGTCGACGTTCTTGTTCGTAACCAGGCAAGCTGTAGCCAGACCCAGTACGCAGCACAAGCCACTGCTAATCATGCAGGCATTCACCTAAAACAGGCAATGATTCTGTTAGCTTTCGTTCTGCCTTTATATGATCGTGGTTAACAAATGGCGTATAGCGTTTCGATGGGTATAAAGATCTACGTTAGCGTTCTATTAGAATAGAGGGCAGCAATAGCGGGTACAACGCCGACGCTAGCCCATTTTACTGCTACTAAGCATTTAAAGTAAAAATGTACTAATATAGTTAGCTTAGCTAATGTATTTATATATAGCTAATATATTTAGTTTTCAAACAAGACGGGCGAAGATGAATTCGGTTGCTATAGAACTGTTATTAGGTAGGTGGCTAGCCTGACCTATATCAGCTATGACCAGACGAATTTTGGTACACGAGAAAGCCAAAGCAAACATAACCTACAAAACATCAGCCTACATTAACCTTTTAAAAATAAAGTTGAAACGAACGGTAAAATGGAATGGTCGGAACAAGTGGAGGAGAAAAAACACAAGGCGTTTCCGTACCGACTAATAGCTACCGGGTACCGCTTATCCTTGCCAGCTGTACTAGGATCTGCAGCCGGCTGATGGTCAAAGCAATGGTCGGCCGGAACTAGGACTACGACCGAGTGAAATAGGATTCGGTTAGAGAAGAGGGTAGAAGCTTTAAGCTTCCATGATAAATTGACATGTTTGAACATAATCTACCCTGGACCAGATCTCCTCTTGGCCCTCGCCTCTTCTGGTCTCTGCCCCTTCGTTATCGCGGACAGCAAAAAAGAAAGCAAATGAATGAAAAGATTTCTCGAGTACCGGCTGAAGCAGTCCATAAAAGCCAACCAGCTAGTCTTTTAATACTGATGATCCCATGCCCGTCTGACACGGTTCACCTAAACTGTATGTGTATTTCTACGCCGCCTTTCTTCTGGGCTTAAGAAGACAATCGATGCGCTACGATACTTCATTCATTCAAATGTTTGATCACCCGCGCCGACAGGTCAGGAAATCTGTTCGAGTCAAACGACACGGTGGCGGCTGGTGGAGGAAACAACTTGCTAGTTTGGATTTTTCTTGTTTCAATACTTTCTAAGATATAATGATGACTAGTATTAAACAAATACTAAACAGTGTCCTGGTTACTCATTAGAACGTAATGTTGCATGTTGAGATGTAGGTATTTCACGGAATTGCATGTTCCGTCGGGAGTTGAGAGCATTTTCATAATCTATCTCCTTCAAACGATTTGCTTACCTATGATGTGTTGTTTGATTTAGCTGCAACAAGCGGAGGGTGTTTCTATATCTCGTTGACTACCCTCGATACACCGGAAGGCTATAAACAGTGGTTTGACTGAAGCCTATTAGGGGCGCAGAACAAACAGCCAATACAGAGCCAATTGTACACAGTTTCGCTCGACTGGTTTTCTCGCTATGTTATAGTTGTCACCACTGATGTAGCGAGGAGCATGCAATCGCCATCATCGAAGCCGGCGACGCTCGAGGGATACCGATGGTATCAGTGATTTCCCACAATAGAGACATGCGTTCGTGGTGGAGGCCACGAACAGCTTACAGCTGGCAGCCGGTGGCAGGTGGTCACGAAAGAGCGGAGTTTCTCCAGTAGCTAGCGACGCAACGGCTTCAACAGCGATCCAGACGCAGCTGGCGGGGACATAAAATGCGCTGTGCTACGTAGAGCTGGCCTGCCAGTCGTACAGCTGCTTCTACGAGTAACAGCAGCATATTAATTATTTATGACCGTTGTTACCGCCACAGCACCCTTCCGTGACGGCTGTGTTATTTATCGATCCTATTGCTTTTTCATTAAAGCGCGTGCACTCTCCGTCGCTAACATGGAACAAGCAAGCGCGGGCCGGTCGCAAGCTGATGGACCCTACCCAACCCAGCTACTCGTTATACGCCAGCTGCCGCAAAGACCTTGCCGAAAACTGCTGTTCAGCCTCAACACATACAATAATGTATGTACCGTAATGCATGAACCTAGCATGACTTCCAATGGCCGAGTTAGTCTTTAGCAGAGCAATCACCATCTTTAAGGCATCTTTCTCTGCCAGTGTCGTCTTTACGACATTTACGCAGGCGCCAATGTGCTAATGTACATATTATTAACCAGTCTCAAAACCCACGTTCGTCGATAATCAAATGAATCGTCGAAATCAAAGAATAAATAATAGCTCTAATCACTTGTCAACTGGCAAGATTTATTATAATAGAACACAGCATCGTTTCTCACACTGTGCACATGGAACGGAAAGTTAACAGAACCAAAGACGTCCTCTGAACGAAACAAAAAACACTATTTGTTTTCTTTTAGCGAGCAGTTCTAGCGGGCGAGCGGTCGGTACGTCATACTCTCGAGTTCTTGGCTCGTTTGTCTTCTGTTGCCGTCCCTGCATCGATATTGTCCTTGAGCTATCGGTATACGGATTTGAGAACTAGCGGAGAGCCAGACGGCCAGCTGGCAAATGTTAGGTGGCACCAGCAACATTGACATCACATTGAATACCCAATAGCGACAACATTGTAGTGAGAAAAAATAGAAGAAGAATCGAACCCTTTAAACAGAACTGGATGTTAAAGGAATCTCCCTAGAGCCGCTGCTCCGCTTGCCCCTATCACAGTAGAAGTTTTGTGCAACTGGCATCTTTCCCAGTATATACTTTTCGATCCGTTTCGCATTTTACTCGATTCCCTACTTCACTTCTGATTTATCGCCCACGTAGCCTCTTCTCTATCACTATCTATCGTCATGCCTATGCATTGTAGTGTCTTGTCATTTGGCTCGTCATTCGCTTCCTTCGCTCAATCCGATGTATCACTTCGCTCGTCAAATACATCTAGTTCATGCAAACATAGATGCAAACACCGCTACGGAAGTAGACAGACCTGCACATGATGGAGGCACGAGCCCCTGTGCTTTGCTTTGCCCTGGCCTTAGCAAAACGGAAAGTTCAATTGCAGTGCGCTTAGTTCATACACCGGCGGGATATAGTCCTCTCCGCCCCATGTCGTTCGCCCTCATGTCTCGTTTTGCTATTGCATTGTTCGCCTCGATACGTTGCATCGGCTAGGTTGCAGACTTCTATTCGAAGACGGAAAAAGGCATAAGGCAGTTCGAAGAAGTAAGAAGTAGAAGGGAAGCGAGGGAAACGTATAAGAGGCAAGTGTTTCACGTTTCTGCTGTTAAAGCAAGACGCAGCGTGGCAAGGAGAGGTCAGGCGCCGTTGAATGAGTCTACTTCGAAATTGCCATAGCTTGTGACGCAAAGTCGGACTAGGTTGAACGGGGTTAGATCGTGTCGATTCGATTCTTAGAGTGCAGTACAGCGGTTAGGGTAACTCGAAAACGGAGATCTTTCTCCTTGTCCCTCTGTCTTACGAATTCGCATGACGATGTCCGCAGGGCTCGCCCATGTCGGCCAGCTCAAGATAACATGTTGGTCTGGATTCTGCGACAACAACCTACTTTTCTGCTTAGTGTGCTCCCTTGTTTCTGGCAGTGCCAGTTTAAACTGCCGTAAACACGGAAAGCAAGTAGGTTAGCCGACTGGAGCTCTTTGGGCAACGTGATGGCGGCCAGAATCATAGCTGCAGCCTCCACAATTGGTATCCGTCTAACGATAACGCCTTGGAGACAAGTAAGTACTGTTTGCTCTGCATGTGGCAGGTCTAGAAAGACCTGGGAGAAATGGGGCACGATGAGGGTGAACTCGAGCGCCAGGCCAAACACAATCTCAGAAGGGCGCAACTTTCTTCCAACTTTGCTGTATGAGTGTTGCAATAAAGGTTTATAGATAATACGCGCAACGTGGCACAGAGACAAGAAAAAGAAGGTCGGAACGATGGCAAGTCTAGAGGAGTTCAGACTAATGTGTGTTAGGTTGCTAGATTATTCGAAGAAAGGGTCTCACGGAAGTCCGCGAAGCCGGTGACGGTCCATTGGCGTGAAAAAATATCATAGCAGTACTTTGCAGTGCGCAGTGGCATTATCATAATATGAAGTCTCCAACCCCAGCTAATGAGTGAGTGTAAACGGATTATACCGTTGGATCTCAACATCGGGTATTTGACATCTGCGAAGTTAGCGTTTGATGATTGGCGGTCTGACACATGAAGTAATAGATTTCGAAGGTTATTGGTTTCAGCGGCTCTGCCTCAGTCGGTTCGGCATCTGTCCTGTTGAAAAACAGTCGGCTTATAGTTGACTACTGACTCGAACAAGAGTCTTGAATCGAGCGTTTTTGCAATGCTTTACAAACGTATACACGATTTACTCCTACAAATCGAAGAACAAGACGAATCGAAGGTTTGCAAAAGGACAGAGTAGTAGAAACGAGGCAGGTCAAGTTAGTAAATGAAGCGTACACGTTTTTTCCTTGGTGTCTTTAGAGAAACATTTCCACTGCTATTTACATTCTACGTGCTTTCTTGGACCAGTAAATGCTGAGTGTATAGAAAGTTCATCGTCACGGTCAAATATTTTCAACCCTTTCTATAGCTTAGCCGAGTTGTCTTTGTTTGGGACAGGTCAAAACGGACAAATATATCCGCTGGTCACTTGATCAATCCCTCAGCGTTTTCAAATAACTGAATAGAGCTAATCAATTAAACGAAACGATGCGACGCTCATCAAAAACTTCAATGCACATTGTCAACTTCACGACCCCAACAAGTAATAGAAAACCTTTCCGCTACACATTTACTTGCAGTGACAGCGACAGGAGCAGACGCAACAGTCCCATCAGTAAGCTCGTTCCCCTCCCAGTGTTTGAAGTACAAAAAAATCGTCTTCGTTGTCGCCCTTTCTCCAAATTACCATCAGCATCGGTACAAGCTGGGCAGAGTCCGACAACTGCTACCGCTACAGCTGCTAGTACTCGAAATGCCCGTCCGTGTGCTCCAGCTGCGCATAGAGCAGACTTGCGGCAGCGAAAATGGGGTGAGCAGCATATACATTTAGTAACGGAGGGACGTAGCTGTTCGCTGCTGCTACCATTGTTGCAATATATAGCGCTAGACTGAAAAAATT